GCCGGTGGTATCATACTCCTTGACTTTAATTTATACTACAAAGTGACAGCAGCCAGAACAGCATGGTAATGGCACAAAAACAAGCACCAGTGGAATAGAATTGAGAACTGAGAAATAAACCCACATATATATGAGCAGATAATTTTCAACAAAGGAGCCGAAAACATACAACAGAGAAAAGAAAGCCTCTTCAGTAAATGGTGCTTGGAAAATTGGAAACCCATGTGCAATAGAGTGAAACTAGATTGCTGTCACCATATACCAAAATTAACTCAAAATGAATCAAAGACCTAAACATAAGACCTGAAACAATAAATTTCATAGAAGAGTATAGGTATAAAACTTACGTTATGGTTCTTGGGTTCAGAGAAGATTTTATGAATTTGACCTCAAACGCAAGGGAAGTAAAAGCAAACAAAAATGGAACTATATAAATGAGGCTATATCAAACTTAAAAGCTTCTGCACAGCAAAAGAAAGCATCAATAAAACAAAGAGGCAAACAATCAAATGGGAGAAGATATTTGCAAACAACACCTCCAATAAGGGGCTGGCTAATATCCAAAATATATAAAGAACTCATACAACTCAACAACAAAATAAAATAAGCAATCCAATTAAAAAATGGGCAGAGAATCTGAACAGACACTTCTCCCAAGAAGACATACACATGGCCAACAGATTTATGAAAAGATGCTCAATTTCACTAGCTATGAGGGGAATGCAACTCAAAACCACAGTGAGATACTACCTCACACCTGTTAGAATGGCAATCATTAACAAGACAACTGATAACAAATGTTGGAAATTTTGCAGAGAAAAAAAAAACACTCCTCATGGTGAGAATGTAAATTGGTATAGATACTATGGAAAACAGTATGGAGGTTCCCCAAAAAAATAAGAATAGAATTACCACATGTCACAGCAATCCCACTTCAGGGTATCTATCCCCCAAATTTGAAAACATTTATCTGCAAAGATATATGGACCCCTATGTTCCTTTCAGCATTATTCATGGTGGCCAAGGCATGGAAACAACTGAAGTGTCCTTTAATAGATGATTGGGTAAAGAAGATATACATATATACAATGGACTATTACTCAGCCATAAGAAAAGATGACACACTGCCATTTGTGACAGCATGGGTGGATCTTGAGATTACCTTGCTTAGCGAAATAAGACAGCAAAAGTCAAGAGCCATATGACTTCACTCATATGTGGGATATAAAATGGAAAGCAACAAAAAAAAACAAGGCAAACAAACAAAAAATCATAGATACGAGCAACAGTTTAGTGGTTACCAGAGGGTAAGGGGGGAGAAAAGGGTAAAGGGAGTCAAACATAGTGATAGAAAGAGAATTGACTTTGGATGGTGAACACAATGTGAAAAAAGTTGATGCATTATAGAAATGTACACTTGAAACCTATATAATTTTACTAACCAATGTCACCCCAATAAATTTAATAAAAATGAAAAAAAATGTGGTTGATAGAAGGATATTAAAAATGTGTATGTGAATGACTAACCAAGTAATACATAGGTTCAATAGTTCACTCTCAGTAGATTGATGTGCTCCTTGATGCCAGTGTCTCTGGTACATTTGGAAAATCTTTAGAAATAGGAAGTCAAAAGATGTTCCTACATTTTGTACCTCTGCTGAATAAGAAATAATTTCTTGGCTCATTTCTTCCACATCAGAGCTTTCTGATAAAGGGGGAAATGAGGTTTGGTGTTTGGAACTAGTTTCTGGAGACTAATAGATTGAGCATCAAATTCTAGTTCGATTAAAACCTACAACTGAGTGAGACATCATATTGAGCTTTATGTACAGTGTTCTGAGTCTTACCTCTGTGTTTTATTTAAAGTCACGTCACATTCACTGGTGACAAGATTTCTGAACAGAGCTGTCTTTCTAGCATCTGTCGTTGTGTAACTCAACTCCCTTGGAGGGAGTGGACAGTGCTTTGAGGAGGAGAAGAAAAGGAAGTAGATGACAACTGGATGAGCTGAAGGAGAGGGGTCTCAGGTCTGTTTGTGAGAGTGCTCTACCATGGGAGATAAAAAATGACTTGGTATTTTCTGTTACAGTTTAATCTTACCAAAAGAGCAAACCTCTGGTGTAGTCACAGCACATCACCAGGTTTATGCCGTGGCTGAGGGAAGCAAGGCTTGGGGGAGTAGCTGTATAATTCTACACAGGGTTAGAGGGATGGGTCATGGGGACGCAGGCAGATAAAATGGTCTCTTGACTGCCTCTGGTTCCTTGTGCACAGAGAGGCATCTGGAAGGTTATCGTGTTATCTGATTCTTGAATACAGCCAGTCACCTGAAGTCAGTGTTGCTTTTAGCAACAAGTGTAATTGAAGAACACTTATTATGCAAAGAATTTTTATTTGCAAAAGAGAGTAGTGTTTCTTTTAGGTGACACTTGTATTTTATTCGATATAAGTCTATGCCCTTATTCCTTTAGATGTACTTAAATTTCACAGAAATTTAAATTTTATGAAACATATATTTCTCCCTAGAAGAAATATCCTGAAAGTTCTTTCTTTAATTATATAACAATCATTATTCATGGATCATAATTTCATTGGATGTTCAGTGTTTGCCAAAACCATATGTGCATTTTCTCCAAGTCTTAGTGCTTAGAACTGATACCATTTTAACAATTGACAAAATAAAACAGAATTTTCCTCTAGTTGACGTTACTTTTTAGAGGTTATTTTGTTATCCAGAGTGTTGTTTTTGCCTTGTGGTTATTTCTGTGTTTGTACACATCCTGGAATCCAGGCTCAGGGTTGGAGAAGGACACCTATCTACTGTGTAGATGCTGCTTCTATGAAATAGCTCTGGAAACTTCTGATGAGGGAGGGAACAACTCATTATTAGAAGGCAACACTTATCCACATTGTTTCCTTTACCTCTATCCCTTCCTTTGACTGACTTCATTGAGAGTAGGCTGTGTTATTATTCAACCCAGAAACTGCATTTTTAAAAAATGCTCTTGCTATTACTAATACTGTAATACAGAAATGATAAGTGAAGTAAACAGGTAAATTGAATGATCTGGACAAAGTCTTGTATGACTCATCTGGGTGGAGGAGGAATGAATGTATGACACTCTTCCTCTAACAAAGCCAACTAATGCCAGACTTGCCTGACATTTTATCAGTGCCCCAGCTCATATGGTTCTTTAACTTTGTATATCACTGAAAATTGCATTTTAAGATCCAAGGTGTTATAGGAAAGTTACTGTCAAGTAGTGGCCACAAATTTCTTGATTTATACTCTGCTGGAATTATGTTCCTATTAAGTAATGTTTCAGTTATTAGTTCTTCAATGCATTGCAAGAATGTCACCAGTAATAGAATTTAAGAAATACCTGGTTAATAGGAAACAACTAGAAGAATTAATTTGGAACTCTCATTTCTTATAAACCTGCTCAGTTCTTTGCTAGCTCTTCAGCTAGTGATTAAAGAAAAATAAAGTCATGAAAAGGAGAAAACCTTTCTTCCTACATGGCTTCAGTGCACAAATGAGAAATTGGGAATCAAGGAGTTAACAGTTCTAGGAAATGCTTAAAGTTGAGGGGATGGTTTTGTACTCTGTATTAAATTGTCTAAAGATCTTTGTGTGAAGAAACTATGAAAACAGAACAATCTCTTTTGTTCACCAACTAAATCTTCATAAGCCACTGTTCTGTCATTTTGAATCCTGTTGAACAACATTCTGAAGGTTATTAAATTGAGACTTTTGTCTTTTTTATTTTTAGCACACTCAAGTGTATATATAAATCTCTGGAATGTTGGAAGAGTGACATTCCACAAGTGTCAGATTTTTTTTTTTTCTGTAGCCCATTGTGAAGAGGAGACCAGTAAATTAAGAATGTTTAGTTCTTTCTCCTGTATTTGCTTTCCTATTGGAGCTCTGTTACAGAATAAAGAATTGGTTTCTTTTTCTTTCTTTTCTTCTTCTTTTTTTGTGGCTGGATTATTGAATAGGAAAATCACTATTTCAAGTTGTTTTCTGGCAGTGATTAATGATTAATTAACCAAGCTAGCATTAATAGAAAGGCATTATTATAGTATTAAATTTCTGTGTGGCCTGGCACTGTATTGGTGAACAAGAGAAAAGTAGAATTCACAATAATCTAGATTTAGAACCAAAAAGTGTACTTTAAGTTGCAGTTGTCAAAGCTATGTTCTTTTCATATTGTTCTAGAACAGGGAGACATATACATCTTTGCAGATTGTCATAGCAACTTAAACTTGTTCAATATTAGATTCCAAGGTAACTGTTAGTCTATTTTGGGGAGTTCTGGTATATTTTGAGGAGTTCTGGTACATTTAATTTAATTTTTCACTCTGTCATATTGCTATGGTAACAAAGCAATCAATCATGGACTAGAATGAGTTACCAATAAGAACTAGTTGGCTATGTGCATGAGTTGCACTGTACCCTTTAAATCTGGCAAAATATTGGGTTGTTGGAAAAGTCATGACGCATTTTAGCAATGAAAAACAGAGAAAAAAAACATCATGACTTTTCTGACAACCTAATAGTATAGTTTTGAAGCTACCTTTTAAAATAAAGATCGGTTTGAGAAAACAAAATGAATTAAAATGATTAACAGAAAAAAATATTCTTAGGGCCAACTTATAAATTATAATGAAGAGATTCCCAAACTGGCTACTTGAAACAATGAAATATTACCTTTCTTTAATAAATGGGGAACTAACTATTTTTAAGGACATGGCTTTGGATACAGAAGTGTGTCTATATGGTCTAAGAGGACGCTCACCATTTCTGCAGGGCTGTTCTCCTTACTATATTTCTTGACTTGTTTTCTTGGTTTTTGCTTTCTGTTGGGCTCTTTGCTGTAAATAACATATTGGGGATGGAAGCGTGAGACATATGATTTTTGTGAATGTTAAAAAGAACACTAAGCTGATATTGGCATTCTTGTAACTGCGTATCTTATTTCTTCATTTACTTTCAGTTTGATTAATAAGCTTAAACCTGGTGTCATTAAGAAGATCAATAGACTGTCCACACCAATAGCAGGTTTGGTAAGTAATCATTTATCTGCAAAACTAGATTTTCTTGTTTTTGAAATGTAAAAAGATGGGCATAGACAGATTTTCTTATCTGGAATTATTATAGAAATTAAGTTTGGGGTTTTTTGTGCTCAAGAAAATTATATTTTGTGATGTCCTACTTATGCCTTTAGTTCCTCTGTCTGTGTACCTTCTGCTGGGAGGCTTTTATTTTATGTTTGTTTTGATTTTTGTGCCTTTGGACTTCATAGATTCCCTTTCTGGGCTTATTTCTTCCACAAATTGCATTTGTTTGGGATCGTGTTCTTTTGAAGCTCAGCCTGCATACATTTGCTAGCTGACCATAATTTAGGGAAACTGTTTGATGTTCACCAGTTGTTATCTTCTGGTACCCTGCTTATGCATTCCCCTCACTCAGCACACAGATCTTGTGGTGTATTTGCAGAATATTCAAGGCCTGCTTGCTCACTACTCAAGACTTTTGCTTTATGTAATAGGTTTCCTACAAACATCCTGTGTGATGCTGGGCAAGTCACTGCCTTCCTCTTTGCATCAGTAATAGCCATAAAATGACTACGGATGATTCTCCAGGTTTTTTTAGTTTAAATTTGGAATTTTGCATGTGAAAAATATCCCACACTGTCATATTAAGGTGGGGCTGTGTCTTTGGAAAGAAGTAATTTATAATTAAGTACAAATGATGGACAACTTTCAAAATGTTACCAATAACTAAGAATGAAGGTTGATAATAGAAGTTAGTTAAAAAAAAATTAATTTCACAAAACACTGCAGTTTAAAAGCTAATAATTAGAATGTATAAAATATATATATTCTTTTTCGAATAGTCAAGCTGTGTTTATAATACATTCAGGAACCTTCTGTGTGGCCACCATGTATATGCACAGATTAAAGGCATGAAGTATTAAAGGTAGCGGTACCAAAATTTCTGGGTTTGCAGCTGTCATGACAACCTCATCAAAATTTTGATAGGAATGACTTCGTTGCTAACTGTTTATTGTTAGGAAATATCTGTCTAGCAATATATGAATATATAGTAATATATGAATATGTAAATGCATTAATTCTAGTAATAGGGTGAGTTGGAAGTACTAAGGAATAAAAGTAAAGAAATTTGGCTTTTGAAGTCTTTCTAGGAAGAACATTTAGTTTAAGAAACAAAATAGGCCTTAGATGAAATTAACTTTTATAAAATAACTTCAGTGAAAATTAAAAGTTTAAACTGTATTGAAAGTACTCTCTATCATTCCAAATGGCTTGAGTTTTCTTCGATAGTTTAATGCGTAGATTTTAAATTGTCATTTCTTGGATCAATTACGTGCATTTTAAAAGAAATTAGCCTTGGATCGCAAACACTCTCCTGCATATTTGGAATGTTTGAATTGTGGTGGTTTGCTGTTGTTGGCCACTAGAGGTTCTATTTAATCTTCTGATCCTATGAATGAGATGAAATCACTAATGTATTTTTAAATCCAAAGATCTCTCCAAACATTTCTATTTCAAGCATGAGAAATTCTATCTAGTTTGGATTTTATCTCTAGAAACTAAAATGAAATGTATTTCTGGCATATTCAATAGGATGATTTCCCAAATACAGGACAATGAGCATTTTCAATTGGATGCAGAAGCATTAAGAGTGACCACAGCCACAGAACTGGGCTAAGCCCAATTGGTTTGAAGTTGTTATCATGCTTCATTTGACCCTTTCCTGTGATGCTTTTGTGTCAGGATTATATCAAACCTTCAAAGCCTTAATTTCAAGTGTGAAGAAGAGCTCCAGCATCTACTTAGTAGGGTTATTATGAGGTATAGATAGCCTGACACATTGATATTCAATGAATGTTCTTTTGTAGCTCATTCATTCTTTTAACAATTAATTGACTGCCTACTGGGTCAAGAATTTTTCTAGTTTGTAGGGATATATTGGAGGAACAAAGACACATAAGGACCTTACCTTCAAAGTGCGTTCATTCTAATGGAAGAACAGGGACCAGACAAATTCACAGTTTAACAAGAAAACACCAGATAATAAATGTGCTGCAGAGAATCACAGTAGACTGGGGCTTTGTTGAACACTCATGAGTAGTTATGGTCTGACTATGAAGAGTGACCTCTAAGAATTCCTTAAGAAGGAATATGTCAGAAGCGTTAGATTTTGACACTTTTAGAAGAAAGATGAAGAAGCTGAGCCAGACTCTTTATATTAATAACTTTTGTGTTCACAGCACATCACTGATACATATAGGAGACCAAAGATTTTTTGAATGAATAAAATTTCCACTGTGAAAAAACGATGGGCTCTAGAATTATGTCTTTGATGGAGATAGTGTTATAGGTTGAATTCTGTGTCGTTCCCCACCACCCCCACTACCACCAAAGATACATATTGAAGTCGTAGTCCTAAACCCCAGTACCTCAGAATTTGACCTTATTTGGGAATCGGGTTATTGCAGATGATGTAACTAGTTAAGATGAGGTCATACTGGAGTAGGGTGGTCCCTAATCTAATATGGCTGGTGTCTTTATAATAAAATGGCCATGTGAAGACAAATGCACACAGGAAAAACTCCATGTGACAAGTGAGGATTGAAATGATGTAGCTAGAGGTAAAGGAACACCAAAGATTGTCGGCAAACCACTAGAAGCAAGGAAGGATTCCCCTGCAGGTTTCTCAGCTTCCCATTCCCGAGCATGACTTTTTGGACACCTTGATTTTGGACTTCTTGACTCCAGAACTGTGAGATGATAAATCTCTGTTGTTTTCAGCCATCGAGTTTGTGGTAGTTTGTTATGGAAGCCCTAGGAAACTAGTACAGGCAGGGAAATGTTTTAGCTAACATGAGCTTTAAAAAAAACACAACTTTTTGTTTTGAAATAAGTATATAGATTTACAGGAAGTTGCAGAAAAAAAAATTAGAAATAGTACAGAGAGGTCCTCTATGCCCTTCATCCATTTTCCCCAGGTGATAACATCTTGCATAACTGGTATAATATTAAACCCCGGGAAATTAACATCGGTACATTCAAAGACCTTAATCAGAATTCACCAGTTTTATAAGCAGTTATGATTTTTTAGTAACAAAGAGCAGAAATGCGTTAAAGCTAAGAAGAAGAGTGTTTTATTTTAAGGATTTTTCAGAAGACTCGCCCATTAATTCAGTGCTCAGCAGAAACATGGCAGCTGCATTCCACATGATTACTTTTTTCCTGTTGGAAATGGTGTCTATTAGTTGAGGTTGCCAGGAGAGGAATCTGAATGGATCAGGTTACCTTTTCTTTCCAGGCTACAAGCATCCTAGGTCACTGGCCAGCCTGTGCATGAGTTCCTTGAGAAGACTCGTCTTGGCCAAATGGGCTGTGGTCAGGAGTGTTGCTTCCCTTGGGCTCACTCAGTTCAGGTGTGTAGGTTGAAGTGGGTTCTGTGAATGAGGTTTGTGTGGGGTAGAGACACCACATTAAGTCAAATACAGTAAGAATCACATGAATTCTGTGTAAGAATTTGTTAAGCTAAATGACTATAGTGCTCCAAGCCCCCTCATCAATTACTTTTTTCTTATTTTCTTTCCTGCAGCTATAACTTTTCCATTTCATGTAAGTGATCATGTGTATGTAGCTTTGGAGCCATGGCAATGGATTTACCCTTTGCACATGGACCTGTGTGAAAAGCATGGAATATCCCCTGAACAATGACAATTCAGAAAGAAATGTTTAGATAATTTCAAAATATATTGAATGCTTTGCTTGGAGCATTCATTATTATTTTTTCTTTGGGAAGGCAGTAACCAGGTTCCTAAAGAGATGTGGCTTTTCTCGCTTGACTGAGTTTTATTTTATAAAGAAATTGATTTCCCCTTATCTTTTCTGTTCTGTTTTTTTTTTTTTTTTACAAAGCCATTCAAAAAAAAAAAAAAAAATCTAACCCAGGAGTTTGAGTCTTCCAAAAAATTAACTGGTGTTAAATGTGGGCATGTTCAGATCATTGAAACTCAAACTTTATTTGGGAATAAGAAAATTTGACCTCAAAACAAAACCCTGAGAAACAGGCAAGATATTCTGATGGTGAAAAGAGCTATTGAACCAGAATAATGTTTACCATCTGATGTGTTAGTGTACGTGAAATACAATGTGAATAGAATGTTTAGCAGCATCCCTGGCCTCTACTCACTAGATGCCAGGAGCACCATGTCCCCAACCCCCTACTCGTGACAGCTAAAAATGTCTCCTGACATTGCCAATGACCCCTATGGGTTAAAATCATCCCCGGTTGAGAACCACTGAGCTAAAGAATCAAGAAAGTAAACACGACCCCTTTATATGGGTTAGTTTGCCAACTGCCTATAGATCTGATTGACGTACTCATGCTTGCCATCTCAATTGCAATTTCCTTTGAAAAGCAATGGTATTTCAGAAAACTTGGTTTGAACTATGCATTTGTGTGAATATTTGTGTCTTATCAGTGGGCTCAATAGAAAAATCCTCAGTATATCCACACTTGCATCAAAACTATGAGCTGAATTAGAACATCTTTGCTCTAAAAGGTTACTCAAGGCTGGAATGTGTAAGGTGTGGCTGTAGAGGCTGGGAAGGTCCTATTATTCAGGGACCTACAGAATGTGGTAGAATGCAGGAAATGCGAAGACACCAGCTAGCTTGTTTCCCTTGCCTTCATTATGGCTACTTTGAGAAATAAGGCAAGTTTATGGGACCATTCTTACTGCCATTTCTCACAAGGTTATTAGTGGTTAATGTTCTTATACCTGTGTAAAAATTATTTCTGACTCTTTCATCTTCGTTCTCCTACTCGCTTGGGTTGATCAGCAAAGTAGTGCAACCTAGTCTGTGTCAAGGTCACTGTTGAAACATCTAGTTGTTCCCTTCCAGCAGTAATAGAGGATTCACCTGAGGAATCAGCTATAACATTTAAACATTATTTTCCAGGTTTTATGTGCTTTTCTAAAAACCACTCTCAGGCAGTGACTGTTTATCCCATTCTT